TTCTGGCTTATTGTACCTTCCTAGTTCCTTAGTCCAGTGCAATAGACTCAATCCTTCTCCTTAGAAGTATCAGCTCACTGACTGTCGCTGCTGCAATTTGATTCCCTAAGTTTTTTCCATATGTTAGGTTAAATCTCCCTTGAGCTGTTGCTTAGCATTCGAAGTTGACATGGGTGTCTGTTTCCTCCTCCTCATTGCATAATCAGCAGATGAGATCATTGTTGTACATGTTTTTTCAGATGTCAGTGACCAGTTAGTAGTCCTATCACTTCTCTGAGCCTAGCCCTCTCCAAGTGCAGCAGTGAGTTTGCTAGTCTTGGTGAGGTGTTTCATCATAAGTTTACAGTGTCTAGCTCCGCTAATTTATCCACTTCTCCTTTTGTTTTGTTTGGATTCATTCGGATGGAGGATTCTATATTTGTTTTTGCTATCCCAATTACAGGTTCGGGCCTATGATTTTGCAGATCCTCCTCTGGTCAGATTGTCTGCTTTGTCGTTACCCAAAATTCCTCTATGCCCTGGTACCCAAGACATCATCAGGTTGTTGTGTTTCCCAAGATTTTGGAGATTTTGGATGCATACACTGAGTAATTTTGATGTGATTCTTTTACATGCTAATGCTTTAATGCCTGCTTGGCTATCAGATCCTATATGGATTTTTTTGCCAGTTAATCTCTTTTAAGATTTTCCAGGGCACAAGCATGGATGGCATGTATTTCTGCTTGAAAGACCGAAGTATACTTCCCTAATGATTTTGATTGCTCATGTTTTGGGCTTGTATAGAAATAAGTCCAAATGCCTTCTTTTAAGAAGTGGTAGGCAGTTGATCATCATTGCTTTCTTTTTACCGACTCTTCTTCATACTCTAGGTCTCAATTGTCTGGTTGCTTCCCATTCAAAGATAAGTGGTAGGTTTTTCTTCCCCATAAACTCAATGGGGTCGTCATTGAATTTATCCATGTTGTGAGGGTTTTTTCTCAGATCCGAGTAACTGGTAGCGGGATCATTCCTTACAGCTGTAGCATGTGTTAGCCAGTTTTAGCGAGGGCACTTAAAAAAATCTTATCTCGACTAGTGTTTATAATTGTAAAATTCCAACTCGATCACAAACAAGGTGATAACAAAATTATTTAAGTATATTCTCTGTTTCGTGAAGAAGTAAATGTCAGATGAAAAAAAAGAGCTCACACCTCTTTCTCATTCGTTCCACCCGTCGGCTCATCCGAACGCCGCCACTAAAAAGTGAAACCGTCGTTTCAAAGCGTTGTACGGTGTTGTAATAAAAAGTAATTTTAAAGATCCCAAGGAAGCACAGAAGGTGTCTTACACGGTTTCACGAACAATTTATCTCGGGGCGAGAAAACGGTTCGGTCCATATTTTCCAATAGGCCCTGGAAGCAGACAACGCCCAGACTATGAAAATTACATCTCGCTACCCCATGGAAAAAGTGAGAAATAATGTTCCTCTTTTAAAAGAAGGACGGATCTATGAATTTTCGACGATGCTGCCGTAATAGAACGAATTTGTTTACAAAATGGTACCAGCGGCAACGTTCATATTAAAGACAACACTTTTAAGGTCGAGCGTCAAGTTACAAGTTGAAATTTTAAAAATCAATTTTAAATTGATACAGTGACATTTCTTAAATGTTGACGTTAAAATAAAGACAATATTTAACACCTGAACCAAAGAAAATATCGTCGAAAATGGATTTTCTTTCAAAGATGTGAGCAATTTCCTCGTTGCCATGTCGTTCATTTAAAAAAAATCTAACTGTTATTTATATATAAGTATATTTTTTAGATTTAATTTATTTATTTAGGACCCGGTCGTGAGTTCGATTCCCACCATCGCCCCCAGAATTTTTGACCAAAAATTAAGTACTGAGGTTTGGCTAATATGCTAGACACGATGCCAAAAAAGAATTGCTCATCTTTCCTTCTAACAAACAAAAATGAAGACATGCATCAGGATGGTGTCATATCATAGGTATATGTGAAAGTTAGGGAACTGGTAAAGGAGTAAAGTAAGGGAGCAAAAGTGTTTCCCTGAGAGACGTCAATTAAAATGAGATAAATCGTTGGTTTTAGACGTGTATGTGGACTTCACATCAATTGCCCATCTCCAAAATATGTACACGCAATATTGTATGTGTCTGGCCTGAAAACTACAGCAGACCATAGGAGTCTCCTGCAAGGAAGGCTTGAGCTGGATAAATTGTGACTAACGGATTGCAATGAAAAACAGTTTGGAGTGAAATCTTTTGTAGGGGGTTTTGGGACCCAGTGGATATTTAGATCGGATTGGATGACAAGCATCAAGCGCAGTAGCGCGTACATTGTGTTGATGTTGGAAACTCTTGGTTGTACCGCACAGTCCAAGTCCATCGGGGCAATGGTCAATTTAGTTCTTTTGTCAAGCAGTCTTTATATTTGAAGTTCGTTTTAGTCGAGTATGTAGATTCCTTTTGTCCAGGTTTAGTCCAACGTATCGTATACTATTCACTGGAGGAATCGGGTAGAGTTTCATAAAAGAATGATACGGGATTTTTGATGATTTACCTTGATTCTCCTATGATGAAGTCATAGTTCCAGGATAAAAAGATGGTAATGAAAATTGTGGAAAAGTTACGAGGTGAATTTTAGAGAAGCGGAATGTAATATCATAGTTATATGTGAAAGTTATGGCACTGGAATGCAATAGGAGATCGGCGGTAAGGGAATAAAGTAAGGGAGCAAGAGTGTTTCCCTGCGAGACGTCAATTAAAATGGAATAAATCGTTCGTTTTAGACATGTATGTGGATTCCACATCAACTGACCAGGTTTAGTCCAAGCTATCGTATACTATTCGCTAGAAGAATCGGATAAAGCTTTTCATATAAGAACGATATGGGATTTTTGATGATTTACCTCGATTCTTCTATGCTGAAGTCATACTTCCAGTATAAAAAGTTGATAATGAAAATTGTGGATAAGTTACAAGGTGAATTTTAGTGAAGAAGAATGTCATATCATAGTTATGTGTGAAAGTTAGGGAACTGGAATGAAATGGGAGATCAGCGGTAAAGGAGTAAAGTAAGGGAGCAAGAATGTTTCCCTGAGAGACGCCAATTAAATTGGGATAAATCGTTCGTTTTAGACGTGTATGTGGATTCCACATCAACTGCCCAGGGTTTAGTCCAAGCTATCACAACTCACTGGAGGAATCCGGTTGACGTGCAACAAACAAGGTGCAGTTTTTCTATTAAGAATGATACTATTGGATTTTTCATGTTTTATTTTGATTCTACTATGCTGAAATCATGGTTCTAGCATAAAAAGATGGTACTAGACGTTGCGGATAAGTGAATGTGTCAATGTTTTTGAAGAGGATTGCCGTACCATAGGCATATATGAATGTTTAATTACAGGAATGTACTAGATCAGGTGAAAAAGAGTAAGGGAGCAAGCGTGTTTCCTTGGGAGACGCCAGCTAAAATGAGATAAATCATGTAAGTAGGGAATCTTAATTTCTCTTTTTACTTATTAAAATACTTTTCCTTCTTTATTTCTTTGTGAACTCGAATTTTATTGGATCAATCAATTAAATTATTTATATGTGATACTGTATTTTGAAATTGAAATATTGAGTTTATTAACAATTGTTGTGTGCACACCGTGGTTAACATTTATCTAATAAGAGCGTAATTTTGAAATGTTTGAGATGTTACGAATACGAGTTTGCAAATATTAATGCGCTGTTACGTTACGTTTTGCGTTCCTGAGAGGGGCATCGCATTTGGCCGATTATACTTTTACTTTTAATAATTTATTTTGTTACGGTCGAGGGCGAACGAAAAATATACACGGGAATTCCCAGAAGTTTTATTCAGTAGATAAATAATCAAAATACAAATGTGAATCAGTTATGAGTGAGCATTCCTCGAAACGGCATACTTGCAATTTTCAAGAAATTATTTAAGGTATTTCCGATCATTGGATTATTTTGTTAACGAAAACGTCCAGAAAGGGTTGAAGTTTAATTTAATACATTATATTTCGTGGTCCGATTGACCAAATTCTTTCAATTAATTAATCTTTATGTAAGGTATTGGTTGAAATGAAAAAATGGCAAAAAGGAGGGTAAATTCGAAAGGTAGGTTGTGATGGGAAGTTGATGTCCGAGTGGATCGAAGTCACTACGGCTCAAGTGGTTAGAGCAGCTGCGTATTGAACCGAATGTCATGGGTTCGAATCCCGCTCGTGACACTAACTTTTTCATTTCAACCATTACCTTACCCAAATATTAATTAATTGAAAGAACTTTAATTTAATATAAATTTAAGAATAAAAACATGATTTTCCTTTTCGTTTTTTAGATACTAGTATCCTGTGGAACAGTAATAGTTTTTGGACGGTTTTTAAGTAGTTTTGTAAGTTTTGCCCGGAATTAAATGATTAGCCAATAGCAAAAGGTTATTGAGAACACTCATTTGGACCAGAATAAAAATTTATTCTGGCATGTGAAATTTGGTCACTGGGCTTGTATTGAAATGGTCATTTATACTGTAATTTCTGTAGAGCTTGAAACTTAGTTTGGTCCAAACGGTTTTTTTTTCTCGAAACGCACAAAGTTCCGAATTGAAGACCTTCTTACCATAAGGAGAGCATTAACGACAATTTATTTATTTTTTTTTTTAATTAACTATTGATCAAAGTAGACTTGGTTTCGATAAAAGTGAACGTTCGGGGAAAAGACTCAGAAAGGTAAATCACAAGGAAAGGAAAGAAAATTCTCTTTTGTCGAACCCGTGACATAAAATCCGACAGGGAAAACGGGTCAACGAGGATTTCCGACGCCTTGAGCAATTATCGCTTTGACGTCATTTGAAGAGTGCGGTTTATTGGGCCGGATCGGCCTTAGCTTTAATCCCCCTGGAGGCCGGAAAGAAGCTTCAACCCTTTCGAAAATCCCCTTTCGATAAATAGTTAGCAGATAGGGTGAAAAGTGGCCGCTTACCGGAATCGTGTCTGTCTCTATCCGGGCTCTTGGCCATGACGGAAGTCCTTTTCGACGGCATCGGCAGTGAGGGCTTCGGCCTCCCCTGCATCGCGGCCAACGCTTGCTGCACTGCTTCTTGCCGCACTTCTGCAACAGACAAATTATTAAGTAAATAACGTTCAAAAGCTAAAAGACAAAAGAAAACACGTGCACTAGGAAGGACTGAAAGGAATCCAAACCGCAAACACCGGCAAAAGGTGAAAACTTTTTAAAGCATGCAAGTTTTCAAGCAAAGCTGCTCACAAATTTAAGGTGTGATATAAAGGATACCATGAGTGAAATCAGCAAATACACAAAAACAATATACCAACCGTAAAGCAGCTTCCTCAAGATTCAACAACAAATACTTTATTACATACACTCTCAATACAAACATACACAAAATACAACCGTTTAACACTTACTTCATGTTTCATACGAAACCTTGATTTGTTTTAAACAAAAAACAATTCTCGAAAGTTCACTTCGTGCAGGATCAAAGTTTATTAGCTGAGTGGATATGTTTTCCCAGAGTAAAGACTGTCTTCTTCCAGCATTAAAAGAGGTTAAATTTGACAGGGCGATGGGCTTTCAAAAACTCGCTTTTCAAATTTACAAAAGTTGGCATATTCCAAGCAGTTTTATTTAGTTCTAGTAACCCAGGAATTTTCAGGTTGTACAGGTCCTTTTGTTCATTTTCGTATGATTTGACTTGGGCTGCATTCCTATTGAACGGAGGACTTAATTTTCATCCAGTGGATCCACGTTAGTAGCCCCCTTTTGGTTCGAGCTCTAAACGCGAAGTTGGAGTCATGAGCTTAAGTTATAAAGGCACCAATGTACAAGGGGAGGACGTGAACACAGAACAGAAACACTAATTGGACTAGTATGCTCATTTGAAGCAAACCTATATTAACTCATTCCTTAAGGGAACCTGGAGGCATTGCTAACTTGAATATCCATTGTATACTGTCTTCCTGGAGGTATGAGCCACACCATATACGTTAAACATTAAGAGTAGAAAACGAGTCGGCCGAGCTTTTCATTATTTTTAAGGCTTTTTATTAGATCTCAAAGCGTTTTTATAGACTGCCGTATAACCTTCAGGCTCAGGGTTTTTCCGCTGAGCAGTAGGAATCTTGGTCTACATAAGATATCGCACTAACGGAGGACATGTTCCGCGCTTCTTCTTCTTATTCCTGGCACCATCAGCACAGGCTTTTTTCTGCACCGAGTTTTAGCAAGCGCAACTATTATGCTCGTCTCAAAAACGTCCTAGATTTAGTAATCTGCCGTTAATTTCTGCGAAGGTCCTTTGACGAACTTTTTCGCATGCCTCTGTTCTGGGTTACATAGCCCTTGAACGAAAGATTTATTTTTAATTTGTGGTCTGATGGATCCACGTTTTTGGTATACCACAAAGGAATCAAGACCGATAGGCGTTTTCATCGAATTTACCTTTGCCAATTTATCGTCCTAGCCTTGAAGTCCCAGTCAGCTCTGGACTTTCCTACCGATGAGGTGTTGTCTTTAGGTTCCTTGGCTGTTCTTCTTAGAGAGACACTTAGCTTTTTAATGTCCTTGGCATATTGTTCAAGAGCCACGAAAGACAGTGGTATATTGCCGAATGTCATAAATTCTATTCCTTGGTTTATTTCCATAATACCAGCTCCTAACCCTACAAACTCGGTATGGAGCCATCTCTATACTAGACATGGTCGGCGTTAAATTTTCCCCTCAGCCTGCTCAGAAGAACCCTGCTTGTTATCTCTAACTTACTTCCAAGAATATCGTAAACACGGCAGTCAAAAGCTATTGGATAAATTCAGGGATGTACGCGCGAAGGGGTAAACTTTTTGTAACAAGACGACCCTTTTCGTTTATTTCGAAAACAATTAACTTTAGCAAAAAATGGTCTTATACAAACCCCAAGTTAAGTTGCGTGTTTTTTTTTGTACCAACATGGCCCTCCACCCTGCTCCTTTATTTCGGAAACAATTAACTTTAGAAAAAAATGGACATATACAAACCCCAAGTTGTTGCGTTTTTTTTTTTTTTTTTTTTGTACCAACATGGCCCTCCACCCTGCTCCTTTATTTCGGAAACAATTAACTTTAGAAAAAAATGGACATATACAAACCCCAAGTTGTTGCGTTTTTTTTTTTTTTTTTTTTTGTAACTACATGGGCCTCCACCTTGCTCCTTTATTTCGGAACCAATTAACTTTAGCAAAAAATGGTCTTATACAAACCCCAAGTTAAGTTGCGTGTTTTTTTTTGTACCAACATGGCCCTCCACCCTGCTCCTTTATTTCGGAAACAACTTTAGAAAAAAATTGTCTTATACAAACCTCAAGTTAATTTTGGCTAGGAATCCTTCGGGCATAACTCTGAAAAGGTCGATCTTATCAAAATTTTCCTTTCAGTAAAAATGTCATAAAATAAGCTCTAGAATCGAACTGTACAATAAAAATATGGGACTCTCATTTAAAATAACAAAAGTTAGTGACATTTTCAAGCTAGACGAGAAAGTTACGTTAAATCTGTTACCACCATCCTAGCCAAAATTAACTTGTGGTTTGTATAAGACCATTTTTGGCTAAAGTTAATAGTTTCCGAATTAAATGTGTGAACTATAGAAGCCCTGTATATTTAAAACAAACAACAGTTTGTAGATAATAAAACGCCAGTATTTATTGGAAAAATTGCCACTTATTTTCAAATAATCACCATTTATGGAGAAAACAAATTGATCTGGTTGATTTTTATCTATAGGAGAAGATCCATTAGTGGTTATGCAAGTGGTGAAAACGTTTTAACTAAAGAGCGAGGCGAAGTAGAGTGCTTTCACACCGCTCCGATAGCGCAAATAACGACCTTTTTTTAACCACTTCAAATTAAATTAATTCCGCAATCAGCATGGATCGTGAAATTTCAACATAATAGAACTTTTTTCCAGACTTTTAACGCGACTTTCGGCCACTCGCGGTTCAATTTCCTATTTCGAATGTATTTAAAAAAAAAATGACTTTTTTAGTCAGTATAAAGCTTCTTTTTCTTGGAATGTAAAGGATAAGTGTTATCATTCGTTTATTTAAATAAACTTTATAGGAATAAAGAACTTGCGAGTTTATGGACCTAATGAGCTTATCCACTTCGTTTATAATATAAGCGAGTGTCCATTGGAGAATAAGTCAGCAGTTAAGGATATTCAAAACCGGTCGTCCTCAGCCTTAGCCTTTAAGGACGAAATATATACAGGGAGATTTTTTTTTGTAGAGCTAAACGCGTGAATCCTCGTTTCCGAAGGCGTTGTAGCGTGTTCAAACTCGGCGTCCGTTTTACAAAATGAATTATTCGCTAGGGCCGTTTCGCCTCGCGCTAAACCCCGTAATGCGAGGGCGGTGCATTTATTTTTCAGGTCCTGGGCCTTTTCTCGTAAATACCTAAAGGCATCATTGTGAGGGAGGAAGTCGTTTATGAACCGGGGCCCTCGCCGTGGGTGATACCCTCTAACGACTGAGTGGTTGTAAATTGCCACTTTTAATTTAACAGCCTAATAACTTGTATTAAAATACTATAAATCTCGACTGTGCTGTTAAATACTACATCATACAATTCACAAGAAGCATTATAAAGTAAGATTCCTTGTTGGTTTACTGGTGAATATTTTTAGTTAAAACAGCGAGGATGGACGGACCAGGCAGATCAGAAAACGATCCAACTACAGGTTCATCACCCTTCAGATATCAACAAGAAATCTCAAGTTAAAATATTATTCCTAAAACATTAAGTTGGTCGGCAAGTGGACGATCACTTTATTCTAATACTATTTCTCGGCATCTTCAGTGAGAGACGAAAATTGGGAAAAATCCTGGGGAATAAATATAATATGTTAAACCGATGAGTTCCTCGCTATGATGACCAACTGATTAATGCTTTTTCTTATTAGCCAAATTTGATGTATATATGATTATTTTAGAGGTAAGAGGAGGGTGAAAATTCTAGTGGCGATGGTGGAATCGAACCTACGACTTCAGGGTCTACGAGTCGAGTTAGAATTTTCTAATAAAGCCATTATTAGGTTTTGATATATATTCTATTCCATAATTAGTTAGAGTTTAGAGTTTGATATTCCTGTCCGGTCACCCCATAAAAATACTTGATACACCCAAAAATTAATTTTTGAATTACACTTCTTTTATACTAAAAATCACTTTTATAGTTCTTCTCCTTCTTTCACCAGGTTCTTTTTCTTTCAATTACCATTTTCCTTTTTTCTCCAGGACATTGAGACTTTATGAATATCAGGTAAGCATTGTAGAAATTATAAACGTTTTTCTTCGTCCAAATCTGCACAGGAGGAAAACCCCACCTGGTGATTAATTTTGATTGATTTTTGATATTTTTCCAATTTTTTTTTAACTTTCACGAAGTTAATTTCTAATATAGAAGAAATATTAAAACAATTATTTAGGCAATGTGAAGAATTGGAGATAGAGATGGGGGAAAAACCGCTCCTTTTAAGGATCGTAACAAAACCACACACAAAATCTATTTTTATCCAAAATTCCATTTTTGGCGGTGTTACCCCCCCCCCCACAGTGGTTCATCGTCCACTTAGTAAAGTGAGCTAACACTTTAGATCAGCTCGTGAGCTACCAACACTAATTCGCGCCATTCGTGAGTAAATCCTAACTATTTTCCATCCTTTCGCTTCTCCATACTATGTGCAATATTTCTGACGAGAAAGTCGGAAATGCGCTAGAAATTTTATCAACTACAGCGAAAATACGTCCTGGAAGTAAGCCTTATTTTGCTTGAGCCCATCATAATTTAAAAGCAACACCTAAACTCTGTTGTGCCAAGGCTGTTTACTTATATTTTAAAATAATTCTTAAGCGGTTGTGAACTTAACTAACAATACTTCGTGCAGCCTGAACGCGTTTTGCCTATGCTAATTAAAGTTCAACTTCCTTAACAGGAAACTCTCTTCTAATTGAATTTCACGGAAGATCGGACTCAACAATTTGCCTTTTTTCAGATTCGGTGCGGGGGGATTAGACAATAGATATTAATTCGGCAAGGAATAGACGGATGTCCAGGGAAATATATTTGATCTCGAACTACTAGACCGATCCAGAGAAGGCCAGGTAGACATTTTTCAGTTTGAACGCATTAAATTTTTCTAATTACTTTATTTTTACCCTACGCAAATCCAAAGTCCAATTTTCCATAAGATTGTATTATCCCCGGGACATCTGCCCGACGCCACGCAACGCTACCCTACTCTACGCTACGCGATCCCCACTCCGAATTTTCGTCGAGTAGCATCGAGTACAGTCGAAGACAAAAAACCGGACACTCATATTTTATTCAAACTAATGTATTATTGTCGCTATATTAATTACAAAATACTTATTTTAATATAAACCAAATTAAGCCAAATCAAAAAATTCATTTATCTTTATTTTTAATTTCAATGTTTTGGCAGAAAATTAATCATAACACCGAAATATCATTTATTGATAGAATGAATTTAACTAGCAATTTATTACATAGATTTGCTCATAAAATTTAACTAACAATTTATTACAAGGTTTTGCTCAAAATAGTGCATTAAGAATTGTGATACTGATTATTGTGATACACAGGAAGTATTGGATGTTTTGGCAGAACCCCACAGTTCCACTCCTTATGTCCAAAATGGTCGCAGTAAAGTCTTGTGTAAGGTTGTTTAGTATTGACGGTCAAGGAAGATTTTGGTCCTAGAAGTCTTCGTAATTGTCCAAGCCTCTTAAATCTTGTACGGGGATTCCGTGTCAGCCAGTTGTCTAGGTACCTAATTATTTGACTTGAATGGAAGACACCTCTTTGTTGTTGATGTACAACGGATTGCAAGACTGTTTTCTCAATGTGTACATTCAGCCTTGTCCTCCACTTTTTGCACCAGTCTTCGATAAGCTCAAGGTGTCCTTGGATGGTAGGACTCGAGTTAGAGGGCTAAATCGCAAACAAATTGAATAAAAACAACAATTCATCCATAAAGCCTCCATCCAAATGTCGTTTATTCATTTTGGTGTTATTGTTAGATCCGAGTATCTTTCTGTTCAACATCGGACATAGTTTCAGATCTTTTAATTAACAGACCCAATAGGCGTTTTGAAATCTAATGATTTGCAAAAGATGGTTGGTTCTGCTCGTTCATTCATCAGAGGAGCACAACAGTCCTATTTGACTGTGCATTAGTTTTTCTAGTCACTTCAACAAACCAAATCCAATTCTTCTGTTTATACAAAATTAGGATGTTTTCATTTCCGGAGATCAAACTGATCATTATAGGTTTATTAATAACTTTCGTATTTTTTTTAAATTTCCTCAGCGACCATCAGTAGAGGAAAAAGGACTCTAAAAGATTGACGTTCTACAACAAAATGGAAGTGGCATCTTGTAAACATATCACTGTTAAAAAAAAAAACTGACGTTAAAATCTCTGAAACTTAACCCTTTGTTGGAAAAACAGAAGAGTACTAAAAGGGCTGACTTTGTCCTGTAAATAAAGGGAGCTTCTTCAGAACGGCGCCCGTCGAAAATAATCATAGCGACCCGTCACGATTCGATACGTGTAACATTTCTTCCTCACTCCCTGGCCGGTTTTTGTATCGTGAAGTTAGAAAGTCTGGGTCGTCCCTCGTCTCCGTCCTCTTTCCTCGGGTCAAACCGGTGATCTTCAATTACACAACTCGGGCTCGACTCCTACGCGATCGGCGCACCGCTTCGACTTGTCAATTTAGAGCACGAAAAAATTTCAATTTCAACGTCGAAACGACTTATAATCGGGCAATTTCGTTTCAATAGACGAGTGAATTAATCCGTGTACGGATTTTCCTGAGGCCGTCTCCCCGAGTCCCGAAGGATTTGCCAAATCCGAGGATGAAGGTATCATTTTAAGCCGGCTGCACGGCTTTCATTAGCCGATTTCAAGGAATGAGCTTAACGTTCAATTTGAGAAAACAGAAAAGCTTAGCGATGAAGACTTTTCAGCTCGGTCGTCTCAGCGGGTGGAAAATCTTAATAGATTCTCATGGAAATTAAGGGGAGTCATTTTCAGATGATCGGAAATAACTCTTCTCCCTTCGGCGTAGGAAAAAAATGAAACGAAAATACGAGGAAAGGAAAAGGGCTTCTCTAATTATATGGTCCAGTCAACAATTCGGCTGATGTTTTCGGTAGACCGAGCCGCAGGGGAATATTTGGAAATATTGACTCGGACCCACTCTGAGAATTGGATCCATGGGAGCGGGCTCTTCGACAAACCCGAGGAAGAGACTTGCCATCTTGCCTTATTGTGTTCTCTTTACCAAACCATCTGGATATTTTTATTTGGTTTACACTAAAATAGGAATTGTAATTAATATAACGACAAAATTACATACATAGTTTGAAATAAACTACAAAAAATATGAGTGTTCTGACACTACTCGACAAAAATGGTGCAATTTTAATTAAAACCGTGTAATAAATATTTACTTAAATTGATTATATCAAAAAATGGTATTCTGGTGTTTGGTTAAATTTTTTACCAAGCAGTATTCTTCAATTAATTAAAAAAAAAAAAAAAAAAACTAATGAATTTTTGATCTCGCATAATTTGGTATGTACTAAACTAGGTATGTTGTAATTAATATAACGACAATAATACATGTTGATTGAAATAAAAATATGAGTGTCCGGTTCTTTTGTCTTCGACTGTACTCGATGCTACTCGACGAAAATTTGGAGTGGGGATCGCGTAGCATAGAGTAGGGTAGCGTTGCGTGGCGTCGGGCAGATGTGCACGGGGTAATACAATCTTATGGAAAATTGGACTTTGGATTTGAGTAGGTAGAGTTGCATCGGGTAAGTGTGTTTCTGGCTTAATGACGCTACCCGACGCCTTGCCACGTTTTGGTGGGGTGTGCACATCTAGCTGACGCAAGCACACGTCGCGTACAGTCCATAACGTTTATCACAATAATCACTCTCACAATCGCAACGCATCTTTTGTTCTTAATGCACTATTTTGAGCAAAACTTTGTAATAAATTGTTAGTTAAATTTTATGAGCACAACCATCTAATAAATTGTTTGTTAAACTTAATTGTTTTAAATAAAGTTACTCCTAACCATCATAATTAAACAAAGTTTATAAAAACTTATGCATTTTTGATCTCGTTTAATTTGGTTTGCATTAAAATAACATGTTGTAATTAATATAACGACAAAATTACATATACATAGTTTGAAATAAACTACAAAAATTATGAGTGTCCTGTTCTAACGCTACTCTACAAAAATGATGTAATTTTATGAGCAAAACCGTGTAATAAATTGTTTGTTAAACTTAATTGTTTTAAATAAAGTTACTCCTAACCATCATAATTAAACAACGTTAATAAAAACTTATGAATTTTTGGTCTCGTTTAATTTCGTTTACATTAAAATAACATGTTGTAATTAATATAACGACAAAATTACATGTACTTAGTTTGAAATAAACTACAAAAAATATGACTGTCCTGTTCTGATGCTACCCGACATTACAAAATGGTGTCATTTTACCAGCAAAACTATGAAATAAATTGTTAATTAAATTTTATGAGCAAAACCGTGTAATAAATTGTTTCAATTTTAGTATATGTACCGCCGATGTACAAAAAATTGTTATTTAAATTCATTATATCAAAAAATCGTATTCCGGTGTTTTGATTAATTTTCTACCAAACCATTAAAATTAATTTTTTAAATAAAAACTAATTAATTTTTAATCACAGTTAATTTGGTTTTTATTAAAATAAGTATGTTTTAATTAATATGACGACAATAATACATGTAGTTTGAATAAAAATATGAGCGTCCGGTTCTGACGCTTCTCGACGAAAATGATGTAATTGTAATGTAAATGAGCAAAACCATGAAGTTAATTGTTAGTTAAATTTTATGAGCAAAACCGTGTAATAAATTGTTAGTTAAATCCACTTTATCATAAAATGGTATTCTGGTGTTTTGATCAATTTTCTACCAAACCATTAAAATTAATTTTTTAAATAAAAACTAATTAATTTTTAATCACAGTTAATTTGGTTTATATTAAAATAAGTATGTTTTAATTAATATGACGACAATAATACATGTAGTTTGAATAAAAATATGAGCATCCGGTTCTTTTGTCTTTGACTGTACTCGATGCGACCCGACGGAAATCTGGACAGTGGGGAACATGTAGCGTAGAGTAGGGTAGCGTAGCATAGCATCGGGTAGATGTGCACGGGGGTAATGAAACCTTATGGAAAATCGGAGTTTGGGTTTGCGTCGGATAGCGTCACATGGCGTAGCATCGGCTGAGTGTGTTTCTGGCTTTAAGTATGTTCCCTGCTGTAATAACTGTTTAATTATAATAAGTAAACAACACAAAACCGCTATATCCTCTCTGAAATTCTGAAACTATAAAATCCGACATTTCGCGGAAACAACGCAATATATTCCAATATACATCGTTCCGGGTAATAAACCCTCTGCCGGGGTTGAGCGGATTATTCGCTGAATTCAAATAGTTGTGGTTTTTTTAAACCGTGTTCTACTCGGTATGGATGTTACACGATCGATACTTTCAAAGCAACGACGTATCACATAATTTAGGGGGATCGAGCTCACAGTCTGTATAATTTAATTTTTTTACACCAACGCCCTGCCGATGCAATAGTCGTTTTATCATAACGATGTCACATATTTCATAAGGAAATGCTCAAAATTACAATGGCAGACCACGACTGACGCCTGTATAATCTGCTCAAAAGTAGAACAATGAACTGTTCGACATGCCAATGAAATCATACGCCTTATGCCATAAATTACTTTTTTTTTAAATTCCTGATTTTATCCTTAATACAGAAATTGAACTTTATTTATCGTTCTTAAACATGTCTAGTTGGCCAATGGTACAATTAACTAAATCATCATAATCAATAGGAGTAGACACAAGAATTTTTTCACAACAACACAACAGTGATCATGTCAACCCCGGGGAGCCGGATATTTGAAAAAAAGGAAAAAAAAGCCAATTTGTAAATTTTCCGCTGGATTCCAACCCGGCATTTTTACAGTGATGCCTCGTCCTGTTAATCATCGAAGCCTAACGACGCTTTTTTTTCTAATTTCTTAAAAATTAAAATACAAAAAATGCTAAAAAGAAGCAGCAAGATTAGACGAGTTTTTTGCAAAAGAAAAGTCAGTGCTGATTAAGGTATAAGGTATTTAGTAATAGTTAAGGTTGGTTGTACCTAAGAATTACAGTCTGTAAGTCCAGTGTCATAATGGCCTCGTAAATGGTAAATTTATTTTCTAGATGTTTTTCACCTGTGAAGTCATGGCTGCAGTAACTCCGAGCTCTGGGACGTTACTTCCGATGAACTTACAGTTCGATCTGGTTAGTACAGATGATGATGTGTTTTTTTTATTCCTGAAGCACAGTAGCCTTCTGGCTTATTGTACTTTAATAGTCCTTAGTTCAGTGCAATCGACTCGATCATTCTCCTATGAAGTACTAGGTCATTTGACTGACTGGCAATGGATAATTTCGTAAAAAGAAAAACTTTTCATTTATGGAAATGTGGAATTTTTCTGTGTTGCGTGATTCTTTAAGCAGGTTGAAGCACATATCCAACCATTCTTTGGTCCATTGGTCCAAAGATTCTTTTTTCAAAATTCTTTTTTTGCCCTGCTTTTCATCGTCCTCCTACTTTCAAACTTGAAACCTGAATGAAAAATGCCTGATTTCTTAAAAACTACACGCTATTCATGACACCAACACACAAATAAAATAAAGACTAACGAATAATAAAGAAAAATTCAGATTCCTCCGTGCAGTGGGACAGACAGACCAACCCAGCGAGGAGAAACAGACCAAAATGGTAGGTAACGATCAAATTTGTTGGTTAAAAATGTCACATTTCGTGCAGCGCTTTTTTTTTAACTTAACCAAGAAACTGACAACGCCACGGAGGCGGTGGAAAAGGGCCGTCCATCACCCAAGCCGCCCACATCAGAAGCGAACTTATTGTTTATATATTATTTTTAGTAAAAACAAACGTTAATCGTCGTAACTAGTCGTCCTTGTGATTTTTCCCTTGGACTTTTTATCCCTTCTTCGTTGAGTTTGTAAATTCAAATCATATTCGTCAAAAACGTGCGTGAACGCTGAACATTCAGAGGAAACAGACGCCGGCCCGGAAGGACGCCCCGAGGATGAGGCGAACGACTTAACGACTTGCACTGCTCCCATTAAAGCCGGGTGAATTAAAATTCCTGAAACGATTCACTTCCTCGAGACGGCTTGAATTAAAATATCCGTCTTCGTTTAGAAACTAATTCAAACGATTTATCATTATACGGTAGCCCAGAGTTGCGATCAACCGAAATTTTGAAATTATGTCATAAATCCTGACGATTTGTCTCGGCGATACAACACCGGAATTTCAAATAAGGTGAAATAAATTCAGGTCATAAACAATTCCCTTCTAAAACCTTTTTTTAACCAAGGCTAAAAATATCTTATGAGCTCAATTTGTTATCGGATGCTAATTCATCAATGCCAGGAAGTCATTCCTTGATTAACAGAGCTATTAAACCTTTCAACAGTTCTTTTTTTCAACACAACATTCCAACTAATGGGAAAGGGCAGAATTTGCATAAGACAGTAAAAATAAACATGTTAATATACATAATTAAGTCAAAAAGAAAATCAGGCTGGTATGAGAAAAATCATTAAGCGGGGAACACACACCAGATGCAACACAGTGCGACACTACCCGACGAAAATCCAAAGTCCAATTTTCCATAAAATTCCATTACCCCCGTGCACATCTGCCTGATGCCACGCAACGCTACCCTACTCTACGCTACGCGATCCCCCCCCCAGATTATTCTCGAGTAGTCGAGTACAGTCGAAGACAAACAACCGGACACTCATATTTTTATTCAAACTACATATATCATTGTCGTTATATTAATTACAACATACTTATCTTAAGATAAAGCATATTAACTGAAATCAAAAATTCGTTCGTTTTTATTAAAAAAATTAATTTTAATGGTTTGGTGGAAAATTGATCAAAACGCCGGAATTCCATTTTTTGATAAAATGGATTTAACTAACAATTTATTGCACGGTTTTGCTCATAAAATTTAACTAACAATTAACGTCATGGTTGTGCTCATAAAATTACACCATTTTCGTCAAGAAGCGTCAGAACAGGACACTCATCTTTTTGTAGTTTATTTCAAACTAATTATATGTAATT